GATCCAAACAGGGGACCATCCAGGTATAGAGCTGAAATGCAAATGAGTTTAATTGTGGGACTGCCAACTTATAGAACTCAAGTTTCATCAAAATGTTTCTGTAGTGTATCAACACTGCATACGGTTTGACAAATCTACATTCACATTTTAGACATTTGGTACTGGTGTGACCTGGCTTTGATGGTGCTTTTCAAATACTTTTAAATTAACAAGAAACATCATAGGAAAATTGTAAAATGTCTCTCCAAAAGGGCTTAAACACTTTTGTTTCAGGTGGCTTTTCCCGAACACATGCGGTGTGTACCTTGGTTCACAAACTCACACAATCCACGCTGGCTAATCCTGGACAATCCTTAATGCTCATAGGACTTACCTTCCCTTCTTCATTCATTCCGACGGAATTTACTCACCATCTGTATTGCCATGTTTATAATCACCTCTATCTGAAGATATGTAAAAACGACTTCAATTATGCTCAGATTGGTGAATACTGCCTAAATGGCCTTTTGTCCAATCATTTAATTGAGAAATCACACAAATCATAAAAGAGCTCCAAAACGCATCATAAATGCCAACGTTATATGTTTTATTTTTAATCAAGTAATTTTTAGACCTCAAAATATCCATAATTGACAGAGTAAGACATTAGGCATGAGATGAGAATATAAAACCCATGGTCTGGGGAAAGGCAAACAGCACTTTAGCCCATCAGAACGACTGTTCACGTGTGAAAAGCCATTAGAAACATCTCCTTTTTTGTCCTTTAAAAACATACATTTCAAGTGTTTATTTTCACTTGTAAACAATGTGAGTCAAAATGGACAATGAGGCAATCTAAATACTACACAGGATAATTTAAAAACACTAGATAAAACACCGTATTAAAGACATATAGAAATCAGTGTTCACTTTGGTCTCTAGTATGGTTAGGGTTGTTAATACCAAAAGAAAAAGAAAAAGAAACAAAAAACAAAAACCCAACACATCTAATGAAAGCCAACTTGGTGGTGGGTGCCAGTGGTTGACAGATGTAAGTGATTTCAAGAGGTAGTCAACACCATCATTTTCAAGCTGGTAACTCTCACAAGCGTATGCACTATTACAAGCCACAGATGTATTAACTGTTGTAATAGTTTCTCACAGTACAGTACTTTGCCATAACTTTGCAGCTTTGTTCCATATATAAAATTTAAAGACGATTCACAGGTCAACTTCTCACTCTTAACTGAACTATGACACAGATCACACAACCACCACGTCTTAGAGGCTGCTGACAGCTATGTAAGACAGAATTTGATGCTTTTCACAAGCTGTTCTTCTCTAAAACAAATAAATCTCATTAAGACATCTAGAAAATTAAAGTCAGTGCAGCTGCACTTGTACATACTTTCCCAAATTTTATAACCAAAGGGGAAACACACATATATATTTTATGATAAACATTTCTTAGAGAAAACAGATAAATTAATTTAAATTAACTTTAAGACTTAATGAGATTTCCCATGTCCTGTATAATTCATCTTACAGTGAATGTTACAAAGTCTATTAACACTTATGGGCTTCTATTCACAAACTAAATACAACTAGCAGTAACTTGGGGCCACACTGGTGCAAAATAAAACTGGGCCAGAGTATTAAAAATATCGGCAATAAAACATCCTATTTTTGTAGGTGGACTGATGCTAATAACATGATGTTTCCTGATCTTTTCCCCTACAATTGCACACCAAACTTCCAAGTTATAAGCAGGTAAAAATCTTTGTTATCTTTCCATTGTAAAAATACATCCAAAGTCTTCTAGTAAAGACTAGAAATGCAAGTATAAAAATGTTTCCACTATAATCTGCCATGTAGCAAATGAACAGCTCACAGGGCTAAGACTGGTAGAGCATCTTTCTTAGAAATTACCTTTGTGTTGACATGGGGGTGAGGTCAAGGGGCAACTAATTCACAGACCTCCTGCCCAACCCATGAGTAACCCCTGTAAACTGATGCTTCACACAGACCCTTCCCCTCAGTAGCTAGAAATGGCATTGCACATCCACTCTATGTCCACTCCTTGGCAAACCGGTGCTAGTTAGTTGTGTGCCTAGGGCAATAATGCTGCAATATGCTTGGCTTAGGGCAGCAGACACAAATGAAGGCAATTGGCATCTTTTATACTGTTTGCCCAGCACAAATACACTCATACACCAACCTCTCCTGCTACCCCTTCCCGCCTCGACCTCTGGGCAAAGCAGCTATTTCCAAGACTGCTTCTGTGTTCTGCTTTGCTTAAGTGTAAGAGTGCCCGTAATTCTTTCAACTAAGTACATGATAAATGTAAGGAAATGCTTGGAGACTTTGCTAACTAAATGAGATGCTTCATTACTCACAAGTGTTTGTCAGAAACATGCAGATGTGAATTGTATCTACCCTATAAAAAGGTTCTGTACCAGAGAATTGTCAGCCACTGTGAGGCTGGAGCAGCATACAGGTGTGCTATGCATCTACTATGAGGTAGCCTTTTGTTGTAAACAGAATTTTATCTCACCCATGTAAATGGATACTGTGCTCACATCAGTGATATTCACATATACAAGGAGTTCAGGAATTCTGTCTTAGAGTACTTTTACATGAAATAAACATAGGAGAACTGGTATCTTAAATTCAGAAATTTTGATCTATGTCAAACAGAGGTAGTTATTACTAACATCAGTATATAATACTTATATAAAGGTCAAAGTTATTTGGTTTGTTTGGAGTAAGCAGGACTGTAGACTATTCTGTAAAGAAATAACATCATATATGGTATGTTCCCTGAGCAAAGTTCTTTGTCCTGAGTATGTTATGTAATAGTGATACTATTCTTATATAAAAAATAAACCCAACTTTTAATCATAAGATAGGTTTGGTATGTGCTCTTAATTCAGTTTGATAAAATGCTTACAATGATTTCAAATTGCACCCATAGGTCTACAGTTATACATTTTTAAAAAACATGATCTCAGCTCTGTACTTTTTCATATGGAAACAGGGAATGTCCAATTCTCAAGTCCATAACTTCCTATTTCTATAAGGTCAAGGAACTTTGGTTTGGATTTTCAAAGTGACTTATTATGGTTTGCATTTTTACTCTTAACCTGCTTATTTTACCTGCTAAAAATTAAGCAATGCCACTTTGATTTGTCTACATAATTTAAATACGCTTACAATCCTCACATAAGGCAAGGAAGGACTTCTCTACAGCTATATCACATTCAATATCGTCAAAGGTAAGCGTTGCATCACAGCACAGATATTTCAGTACACACTATGGAGATTCTCACAAACACTGTGGTGGAATTCAAGCTGAGTTGTGAGGGCTGGCGGCCCAGCCCCAGGCATTCTCGGGATGCCCGGCCTGCTGAGACAGCAGCGACTGCGCAAGTCTGCCAGGCAGGACCAGTGGGGGAGGGAGCTGCAACTGTTCAGTAGACTGTATCTCACTTGAGCCATGCTCTTTCCTCTCTGATTATCTGAGCTTACACCAACAGGCTCATCATACAAAACTATATTTATTGCCAATGCTAAAGCATTATAATTGGTACCTTCTTGGAGATGTTTCAGAAAGGTACCCATAACATCTATAACCAGGATGACACCAAAGTGAATTTTCATGACTGAAACCCAAAAGGGACCAACATTATGGCTGTTCCCTAGCCAATTTATTAACATAACTGAGGACTGACCTGAGAAGCATCTCTATCTCCATCACTGCATGCTCATCCTGAATCCACCATACAGCTCACTTCAGCATGGTCATACAGGGAACGTCCGTAAGATCAATTTTACTGTATAAAACCCTTCTAGCCCTCTGGTAGGAGGTTTTGGTACCTCTGCCCCAGGCTTATCACTCTAGTTGCCTGCCACCCAACACTGCACTTTTTAATATATTCAAGGTCATACATATTGGGCAATTGCGAGCATCCACTTAATGCTGACTCTCAACCCTGGCATTTTAGTCACATCTCTGCTGTTTTGTTTGTTTTAGAAACAAGTTAGATAACTCTCCAGGGGGAATAAAAATAGCCACCAAAATATATACCAAATGATTGGAGACTTCCTCCAAGGTCTTCAGTAGTAAACAGGGAGGTCCCTGCTTGAAGTGATGGTCAAAAGGATTGACTTAGGGAAGTTGCTGTTGCCACAGTCCCTTAAAAAACCTCACAACATGCTAAAGATTATGAGCTGGTATCAAAATACCACCGAAAACAATCAAGTCACTACATTTTTACATTGCCCTCCCCCCTTCCTTTCTCTTAATATGCATCTAATTTACAATCAAAACATGTGAATTAAAAACATTGAAATATCGGCACAGAAATTACACATTCATTGTCTTTTCTGGAGTCATGTATCCCAGATTCAAAAAAACATATGGCAGTCGGAGGCATGTGGAGTTAAGGTTCTGCCTTCGAGGGGGGGGGGGGGGACACTCTGCAGATACCAAGAAAAAAAAGGCAATCCCAAACTTGGGTTGGGGGAACTGATGATTTAAAAACCTTTAGTACCATGTGATTGGCAGCTCTGAGATCTGAAGTATCCTTTGGTTCACACAAAAGGTAACAGTCATTTTTTATTTTTATGTAATGGAAAGGGAGTGGTATTTCAAGAAAAACTCCAGGGGTTATTTCTGAAACCCTCTAACATGCTTTCCACGAGTTTTCAGTTCTTGGGGATGTCAAACTCTGTGAGGGAGGGTGTGTGCTTATATCTTCACACACACATATAAAAAGACAAACTCTCTTTATATATGTGTCTCCATTCCCACAGAAATCCTCCTCCACACACACAGACTCAGGCTCTCTCCCTCTCACACCTGCACGGACAGGTGCACATTGTATCTCATTCTCTGGACTACATAAAACAGGACACCCTGCTCAAAGGTAATTTGCTAAGAGTGATTTGTCTGTTTAAAAAAATTCACAGTTCCTCAACAGTAGTTAAAAATCCCAGGTCAGCTGCTGTGTGTGAAATACTGTTCCCTTGTGCTTGCATGAGGTAGACTTCCAACCGGGGGAAGAAAACGGTACACTGAGAAGAAGGGTTATGTCTTTTTCCTTTTTTGAACAGAAGGCCCCTTTTTGCTTTGTTCTTCGGGTGCTGCCGGTGACTTCATGGAGGAAGCTTCTTGCGGGGCCCTGGCGGGCCATTCTGAGACCTCGGACCTAGCCTCCTGCGGAAACGGGGGCGCCGCCCCGCCGAGCCCCGCCCCCACCTCCCGCGGGAAGGCCGAGGCGCATGGCTGTGAATCCGCGTCCTGTCTTCCCTGAGAACCGACGGGCGGCGGCACAACAGTTTTATGTGGGCAGTTTGCCACCATGTGCGTGATGCTCTGACAGTAATGGCACTTCTTTGGCTGAGGAGGTAGACTACATTCCTTAGCATGATGATCAAGGCCACCACAGTTGTAGCATCTGCAACAAGAATAGTGACAACAGCTTAGACGTAGGGAGTTATGTGTCATAAAAAGACACCCGAAATACGCAAACCACCCATGAGATCCACTTATTTCAATGTCCCTTCGAAAGTCCGTTATGCTATCTGTCACACCACCTGCTGCTAAGGCCGTCATCACCAACGAGCTCCAGCAGAGCGACAGAGTTCGTTGTACGCAACGCAACAGTCGATGGAAAACATGAAGGACTGTTTAATCATTTCCATGTGGAAATGACCCCTTTTTAAGATCTGACAGGTTATTTTAAAAGAACAATTTAGCCCACTAGAGGGCAGCCAATGCTCAACAACAACAACAAAAAACACCACCTCCAGCTAGCTTTAAAAAGTTAAAAAAATGCAGCTGTTCATATAGTATGCACTGGCAATGTGCTCAGCAATTGGGAAAACTATAGCGCAAATTTAATTTTATAAGTTTAACATTTCTTCGGGTATTATTTTGATTATGGAAATCAGATGACTGGAAGAATTTTTCTCCTTTGTACAAATTAAGCACTGCACGAAAAATCTGCTGTATAGGAAAATCAGATGTCTGTGGTCAATTACCAAGTAATTTTAGAGCAATACAGTGAGTATCTGGATAGGAAAAATGCTGTAAAAGAAAGCTCCTAACTACTTAGATTGGATTTTAAAAAGCTGATGGTAGTTCAGTGATAGAAAGAATTTACTTTCTTTACCTTTCTGTAAGAAATTAGTTTTCCCATAGAGTAATTTTTTCTAAATTGAAATAAAACAAATCCGTCCTTAATCAGTATTTTCATGCACATTGGGTGTATGGCTTTGCATTAGATATCTGAAAATTTGACTTAGCTTCTAAAAGCCGAGAAAGTAAATTACTTGGAAGATATATTTGCTCAATTTCAGTCTGATTTTCTTTTAAATTTTTATATCAACAGCAATAAAACAGCCTAAAGTGGAGAAAATAAAAATTTTTAATTACAAAGGTTTTTAAATCTACTTGCTGAGTATAGAATTTGCTTATTGATTTGTCTCCAATTGAAATGTCTTAAGGATTTTCTATTTTAAATTTATTTTCAAACACATTTATGACTCCAAAATTCTCATTATGAAGCACAAACAATAGGTCACAGCATTTTTTAAAAAATAGCAAAATAAGTGGTAACTGTGAGAGTCAGTTTAAGACTATTATGACAACAAAATAATTACAAAATTAGATCTGTGGGTATAAAAATAGCAAGCTTAATGACTTATATTACCATGTATTTCAAAGAGAAAACTACTAAACTACTACTAATCTACTGAGCAGTATATGTAGAATACCTAGTATTTTATTTTCTGGGATAAGTTATAAAGAGCAAAATTTTTACTTGGCAAAAACCAGGATAACTATGGCTTGCTTCTCTAGTTATCAATATTACCTTACAGATGTTAGAATAATGAATCACAAGATGGACTTTTATTCTTTGCAGTATTAAGAAGTACTTATGTAGAGGAAATTACATCATTTTCAAAAATTAAAGGGAAAAACCAAGAAAACTTTTTCTAGTTAAATTATTTGTGCAATTACATATCTTAATATAATAAACTAATAAAACTTTATAATTAATATTACAATAAAGGTTCACTATTATTTCAGCCATGTGCAAGATAATGCAAATTTAAAGAATACAAATGATTAATGCTTGAATTTCAGGTCCCCCAAAATAACACACTAAAAAATGGCATCTTTCAAAAATATAACCATTATTACTTATAATAATGTTTTCCCATATAGTTATCTTCTATAATAGATAAGTGAATTCTTAAATTAAATTTGCCCGTCTATAAAATATCTCCTTTTGAATTAAATTCACTTCCTGAGGATAACATCCAGTTAGGAGCTCATTTTCGAAGAAAGAGAAAATGGGATAAAGGCTTCAGTAATAGAACAGGCTCTCCTGCAGACACATCAGTTTCATCAGTCACTGTGGTATGCCCTGCGTTATCCAATTTAGGGAACCATTTTGCCCACTCATTTACCAAGGGCCTGATGTCAGGATTCCATTTTCACAAATGGGGGTCTTCCATCATATTCTATACATGCATTTACCATTACATTTGAGTTTTTAAAGTTATTTTAAGGATACGATATACTTTTGCTTTCCTTGTATTTTGACCTGCATGGTTAACTCACCCCCCCTCCCCAACACACACACACACACACACACACACACACACACACACACAGCTTTTCATATATGTGCTAGCACAAGGCCAGACTGCCTTCCACACTGTAAAGATTTGCATTCAGTATATATATGCATAGCCTCCTTTAAAGGGGAGGAATGGTATTTATTCTCCTCTTCTATTTAATCATTCAGTGTCAATCACTCTTACTAAGAGTGCAGATCACACCCCATTATGAAACCCCTTCCTTCCCAAGGGACTGACTCCAAAATGGAAATGTCCAGTTACCTTTCAGCTCACAAATGATACCAGACACAGATTCCATATCAGCTCTACATGGCATGAGTCTGCTTAGTTCACTCTCCACACCTCCAAATCAAGTTGCTTTTGTTAGTTTGAATGAATTACATTGTGATGTGATCATGAAAATGGCATGTGTGCACATGTATACCTATACGCTTAAGAAATACAGGGTAGGCAAAAGTAGGCTTACAGTTGTGAGTACACAAAACAGTCTAGTCTTATTTTATTATTTATTTGTATTACAACTGTAAACCTACTTTTGCCCACCCCTGCATAAGGACAGACTCACAAGCAAAAAACTATCTAAAAGGAATCACACTCTGTATTTTGATAGCCCAACTAACGTTAAGTATTTTACAAAATGATGAACCAGTGGCACCAAGGATATTTTCTCACATATTAAACATAAAGGTGAACAAAAGTATTCAGATTAATCCTTGAACTTTATCAAATTCCTCATAAAAGTTACCTTATACTATAATGAACAAAACAAGCTGATGAACAAAATAGACAAAGAGACATAGAAGTAGGGTACAAACTGGCAAACCTCAGAAGAGGGGGTCGGGGTGGGGGGAGATAAACCACAGAACTTATATGCATGTATGCATAACCATGGACATAGACAACAATGCTGGGGATGGGAGGGGTTGGGAGGAGGGTTATCAGTGGGGGGAAAAGGAGAAACATCTGTAACAAAAATAAAATAAAACTTCTTTCTGTTTCTCTAAGGAGAAGTTCAAGGAACAAAGAAATTTGCATATTTAATTTGTCACATTATCATTGTAAATAGAACCATTTAAAAAACTGAGAAGGTTCTCATTCTTATATTACTGTCATTTTATTCCACATGAAAAAAAAATTATCTTATATTTTAATTCTAAAGAGCTACCATAGCATATTCTACATATATTACTTATACAATGTTGAAGATGGAAAATAGATAATCAAATTGGAGTCCATTTTTAAGACTCAAATATAATTAAAATTTTTAAATGAAAGGAGAATGCCAACAATAGATAAAGAAGTACCTAAAATGGCAAAATAAAAAAAAATAAATATATTTTATTTACATCTTTAGGAATATTTAATTACACTATGAAATAATTATGTGAGTTTTAATAAACTAAGCTCAAACACCTACATTAATTAATAAGTTAATCAAAACATATCCAAAGTTTTGAGGATTCCATAATAAAAATGGGAACTGATTCAGAAATCAGAATTAGATCTGCTAAGGTCCTTGAAAAACTTACTATTTGGGGGCCCAAAGCACTGAATAAGTAAATTATATTTTTCAAGTGACACCAGCAGTAATGGTTAGAACTGAGCTCAACTAAAGACCACTAGATTATCTAGGCCTTATATGGAAACACTGGTTTTTAGATACCTTAATAGCTTAAATGAAATGATTCATCAACTGTGTATTTCCCTTGGATCCCAAAAGTGATTTTGAAAAATTGGGCAGAGGGATGATACCACAGATAGAGAGCCAGATTTGTCTGTCTAAAAATATAATAGATAAAAATGTAATTTAGATGTTTCTAAGTATTTATTGTGTTAGCTGAATAAGAATTTATTTGGAAATTAAATTTGTATTCTTTGGGGTTTGGTGGGAGCATTAAGAAGAAGGATACAGTGCTCTGTAAGCTTCTCAGGAGAAAGGATATGTTGAAAGAATAGTAAGTAAAGCCATATCGGGCAGAGAGAACAGAGGAGGGGAAAAGTGCAAGCTATAGAGCGAGAAAAATGGGTGAAGAATATGGAAAAGGAGCAAATAAGAGGGGAAAAATCATTGAAGTTTCCCAATGAGAGGCCCAAAGGGCTAAAGAAAAGCCAGGTTGGAAAGAATTTCAGAAACTAATTCGGGGAAAAGATAACTGACTCTGAAGAGATTGTTTATAATTTTTAATCTTAATATCCAACTAACAGCCAGAAATAATACTAATAACACTCATCAAGTCTATAGTTTTCTATTTTAATATGTCTGAACACTTGTTATCTAATTCATGTGTGTGGCAATCAACCAAACACAGAGAGTATTGGATCCGTCCGGTGGTGGGAGGGAGGTGGATGGGCAGAAATGCCGTCAGAGAACCCAAGAAAGATGAGAAAAAGGAAAGAAAGATTCAGAGTGTATCTTCTTATATAAGCAATCTGCCCACTCCGGATCTCAAGAGTAAGAAAGACAGATTCTAAGACCAACCTTCCAGATAAAGGCCCCACTTTGTTCTGATAGCTCCCAACAATCTATATTTCCACTTGGGTGCAGTTAGTTCACACAACAGATTCTGCTCCCACATACCAAGAGGAGACTTGGGAACTTTGATGAATCACAGACCTGGAAAAGCCTTTCAGCAATGAATACGATTTCTGACCTCTATCAAAGCAAACTATTATTTATGTGAACTTCTGTTTCTTTTATTTCATTCTTCTGATATCTAAACTCCTAACACTGTAAGCCAATTAAACAATAAAACATTTAAATAAAATTTTATATATTCTTCCTATGTATAGTGGTAAAAATACTGAA